CAATTTAACAAAACAAATCGCCAAAATAAAAAAAACTTAAAACGAGTCTACCATTACGTTAATGACTCAGTTTTATGCATCGAAACATCGACATATGACAAGAGCATTGAGAAAAATTATACAAAAAAGTTATTACAATTTAATAATAAAACAAAAAAGCTGGAGACAGTAATTTTTATAAAATACTTTGAGCTACAATTTTTGAATCTGACAGATTATAAATAGTAAAATAGTTTTAAATATGAAAACGAAACAGACAAATACGTGGCAGTTCAAGTTCTTCAAAGGGCAAAACTCTGCATAATCTATAAAATACCAGACATTGCCCTCATTTTACGGAAGATTTAGACGTTTGTTAAGATGGAACAATTTTCTGCAGGACTAAGGTGTCGATACAAAACTAAACGTCGTGGAAAAAATTAATCAAATGCTGGAGGCGTAACGAAAACAGACCAGTGTTCAACTCTTGTGGTGACAATAGGAACGATGATTAAGGTAAACGATGGCACAGCCGAATGAAGTATTGAAATGTACAGTCCTGAGTTACAATAAGATAGTTGCGAGCGACTGCTGAACAGTGCATACTGGGCCACTTAACGACCAATACAACTGCGGTCATGATCAACGTGGCTAGCATTAAATTCAGACCATGAATAGCAGCACCGAAAATAGAAAATTTGGCTCAAACGTCTGTGATTATACGTTGATAAATCGCATAAAGCACTATTTATTAATAAACAACAGAAAAAGTAATATGGTCAATCAGATGACTGGTCATATTATTTTTTGCATGAGCATTAATAAACCGATTTCACCGTAACAGCAATAATACTAGCAGTATTACTATTCAGAGTAGCAACACAAATTAAAGTAACAGGAACAATACTAGCAGTAATTCCATTCAGAAGTAGTATTCAGGGTAACAGAAATAGTACTAGTAGCGGAAATTGAACTATCACTATTCTGTCATGCACTACAACGCAACGAAAAGAGCCGGATCAATATCACCATTCGGGGTGTGCCAACTCCATGCTGCAAAAGACTAGAGGGAGGTCAGAAAATTCATAGCTGAGTAATACAAGGAAACAACTGATTGCAACAAAGCCAGGTCGCACTTATCGACGAACTGTAATCAAACTTGGAATAAGAATTGGCATTCAATAAAATCAGACACCGGTCAAGACAGGAAACAATGGCAAATGGGACAAGAAACGAGGGGATATCGTAAACCTTTGCGACATCGAATAATCGAAATCAATTAAGTCAGTAGCGGTAGCATAAATAGTGAAAACTGTGCCCTTTTTCTCATTTCATTGAATCGTTTTTTTAAAATAAAAGTCGTTAATTACACCTGTTTTCCATTTTATATTTTAGATAGCGTTATGCAAATTCACGCAATATAGAAGACCGTAATACCACTCTACTGTATTAGTCGTATGAATAATGTTATCACTGCAATCCGGATATTCTATGCATAACAAACTTGTCAGACAGCGTTAGTCGTAATACATTTGCATAATTCTGAACTAGACTCCGAAAAAAACATTGACCTTCTATCACTCTTCGGGATTATTTTTCTTTATTATTAAATTTTCTACTCAATTTCCGCGCTTCCGTATATAATCAATGCTGGAAAAAAGATACCCTTGTTCAGATATCGTACTCCAAAATGAGAATAAACGTCGATCTGACATAAAATGTATATTTAATGAGAGAATATTACATAATAGGCATAAAATTAACAATTCTTTATTAATTGTTTCAAATAATTAGTAATTTTTCCGCTAAAAAAGTTTGTTTAAACAGGAATTTATCATTTTCTGATGGTCAGTTCATGAAAACATCAAACAACACAATTTACGTTTTCACACAATGCAAAACAATCCTGAGTCATCC